TCAATCGAACCGAATTTCCGAACGAAAAACCGAAATACTATAATTGCAAGCTCCAAATGGTGGATTTTTATGTTTATAGTTGTTTTTAGACTTAAATATTTGAAATGTTTTATGACTTATGTGTTGAAAAGTTTGATTTTATCATTGATGATGCATATAATTGAATATTTATTGTATATATTAGGGGTGAAAAATAATTTAAAAGTGAGAAGATACAAGTAGCATTATCTACACAATAAATTAAAGTCATATGAGGAACCTTGAAGCCCCATTTCAAATTTCCTACATCCAGAGTGAAAGTAGGAAGGGTAGATTCGTCTTCACAATCACTTATTATTTTCTTATTTACAGAAAAAATACATCAGTAATGAGATTTGAACCGTGGTCTCTTCAAACAAAGATAAGAAACATAACCAATTACAATAAACACATTTGTGTGAGATTTTTCAAATAAAAACATACAGAAGCTTAAATCTGAAAAATATAAGACTTTTCCATCACGGTTAGCAACCGAAATGTCATTGATTCAAATATTGCATATATTGAATTGCACTCTTGAATGTGTAGAAACGATGTAGAATTCTTAACATAGACTTAATTGTTATAACTATCATAAAGTAACGATATTTTTAAACACAGAACTTTTGAGTGAATATGGGGTACATGTGTCTTTAAGAGAGGTGTAAATATGGAAAGGTTGAGTGATGTTGGTTTGCCAAACGCGGATGGAAAAGACACTACTAATGTAAACGGGTCCAAATAGTGCCCCGACCCACTAAACGCTCAACCATCGCTGTCTCTCCAAACTTCTCATAAGACTCAACAACCGGCTAACCTCCTCTACCTCTATTGTTAAGCCAGAGCAATTTTTTGAGGGGTAAATATGGAAAGATTGAGTGTTGTTGTTTGCCCAACGCAAATGGAAAATGTGCTACTAATGTAAATAGACCTAAATAGTTTCCGACCCACTAAACACTCAACCACCAAGTTACTTTCGCTACACCTAATAAAAGAGTGAAATGGGAAATGTGCTTCCCCCATTACAAAATATCTGCATCCATAGCAAAAGTAGGAAGGGTAGATTCGTCTTCACGTACATCATTTATTATTTTCGTATTCACAGGAAAAATACATAAGTGATCGGATTTGAATTTTGTCTCTTTGAGAAAAGACAAGAAACATAACCAGTTACACTAAACAAGTTTGTTTAAAATTTTTAAATTAAAAACATACATGAAGCTTAAATCTGAAAATCATTGGAATTTTACATCACAGTTAGCTAAGCCACTAACTCTCCCCTAAATATTTTTTTGGTATTTGATACTTCTATTTTCATACTTTGATTATTTTAATTCGAGTTTAAGAATTAATTCTATTTCTCTTTATCTTATAAAAGGAGAATAATTTTAAAATCGCAAGCCTAATGTCATTGGTGCAAATATTGCACATCAGACTTAAATAATATAACTACCAAAAAGCAACAATATTTTTGAACATAGAAGTTTTGAGTGAATATGTGGCACATGTGTCTTTAAGAGAGGGGTAAATATAGAAAGGTTAAGTGATGTTGGTTTGTCGAATGCGGATTGAAAAGCCGCAACTAATGTAAATAGGTCTAAATGGTGTCCCGACCTACGTAATGAACGATCAACCATCGTCGTCTCTCCAAACCTTCCCATCGGACTCGACAACCGCCTAACCTCCTCCACCTATATTGTTAAGCAAAGCAATTTTCGGAGGGGTATATATGGAAAGATTGAGTGTTCTTGCTTGGAGAGCTGACTGGTGGGTTATTTAGTTTCTTTGACAGTAATGTGTGATCTCTTAACATCAGTTCATTTGGTTGATCTTCTAGGTTGACTTTTGAGTTTATTAAAGATAAACAGTGTCCCGGGCTCCTGTCCTACTAAAGGCTCAACCATCACCGTCTCTCCAAACCTTCCCATCGGATTCGACAACCGCCTATCCTCCTCCACCTATATTGTTACACAAAGGAATTTTCGGAGGGATATATATGTAAAGGTTGAGTGTTCTTGCTTGGAGAGCTGACTGATGGGTTATTTAGTTTCTTTGATAGTAATGTATGATCTCTTAACATCTGTTAATTTGTTTGATCTTCTAGGTTGACTTTTTAGTTGATTAAAAATAAATAACTATACTTTTTGTTGCTTTTGTTATGATACTTCTTTTCAGTATCATCATTTTTCGGATTTGAAATGTTTTGGTGGTTAGTTTCCAGTAAACAAAGACTATTCTGATTAGTGTTAACATAGGGAATAGCTTCAATCATACCACTTTTACACAAAATTTATATGTAAGAGCTTAGATCATTGCCGAATTGAACTATTCAAGCTATTATGCTGATCTTCAACATATAAAACATAGTTTATTTTGAGTGAAACAACCTCATGATTGCATATAAGTCTTTACAATATGATGTTTTGTGATAGTGTTTACTTGCTTCCAGATTTAAAAGTGGGGTTCTAATTACTACAATCTACACATAATATAATAGCATGAAGGGGAAAAAAACCTTCTCCCATTTCAAATTTCCTGCTCCATGAGCGTTTGTAGGAAGAGTATAATAGGGAGTGTCAATTTTTTTCTTTTTCCTCTGTGGAACGAGCCAACTTACCGTGCACGTGCGGACTTGATCGGGCCCAGGGATTGTTGCGGCCCACAAAAACAGAACAGGTTCCAGCCACGGCCGCATCTGTTTCATGCCTCCATAGCGATCACCGTAACCGAGTCTTGGATTGTTCCGATGCTGGATCTGGACTCCACAACGCCGAGAATAAATGAGATAATTAGAGAAAGAGAGCTTCATAATTGTTTACAAAATAATTTCTCCAATCCTTCTTCCGTGTGCTAATCGCCTAATCCCTTCCCTATGAAAAGAAATCCAAGCATACTAAAAAGATCCAGTCATGCTCATGAAGAAGGGTGATAAATTGCATGCAAGTAAAATTTAAAGATTGAGTCATTTAATCAAATCATAATCAACCACCCCTTTTTCCATCATTTGTAAGCTCTAACAGATAAGTGACAAGGAAATCCACAATATCGCTTCACTGTAACAATACAGTATTATTGAAGATTGGTGGCTTTCTCTTCTTCTTCGTTAAACTAGCGTCGAAGATATACAAAGAGGGGGTTTAAACAAGTGATAAGAGAATGGAAGATTAAGAAATGAAAAACAGAGACCGAGAGGGGGTGGAAATTGACGCTCGGGGGGAGGATGACATGCAGGAAAAAGGTTTGCAAAGCTAAAATTAAGGACAAGAAAACATGGATGGGGAGAAGTGGCTACCAGAGGCGATATAATTGAGATCGAGAGAGAGAGAAGTGAACCAAGAGCCAGTGAGCAGTGAGCAGCCTTTTCTAGGGGATATAGGGTTTTCTTTAAGCCCTTTGATTTATCAGTGTAGGTAAGATATATATGAAAGGGCAAAACAATACTCATTTTTTATTGCTAAAAAGAAAAAATTTAACAATAAACTAATGCATGGATTCTAATGTGTTAACCGCTAACCATAGAATAAAAGAGTTAAATGGGTCTGACTCATACGGGATTTGACCATCAAGTTTCAAGTAAAATAAATGAACATCATGGGTTTGTCATCCTAAAACGTGCTATTTTATCTAGCATAACATATATTATTCTATTATTTTATATCTTAGTGGCTAAAATATAATGTATTTTAAAGTTATTAAATGGTTCGACCTTGACCAACCTGATTAGTCCAATTTTTATAATTTCAAATATATATTATGTAATTATTTGATATCCTAAATTCCTAATGATTAAATTATAGTGTATGTTATAGGGGATTTTTTATTCGGTTTTCTGGAATTCGATTTCTATAAAATTTACTCCACCTCATCATATTACCAGAAATAATAATGTTTCACAAGGTAACAGGTACTCGAACTTGGTTCATAAGGCTGATTTTTTGATTCGTTGCATCATTCATACCTCTTTCCTGCTAAAATTCACTTTCTTTATCATGTGTTTGCCGTAAAAAAAAAACTACACAACAATAAACTATACATCCCATTACATTCTCAAATTTCATATCTCACGTTCCTCCGGCCAACTGAACGGGTCCACGCTAGTTATAGAAAATGTTTGTATTCTTTCTTTCCCGAGAGAATAATTTGGTTTGATACGTTTTTAAGGGTCAGGCAGACAAATGCCACTTTGGGCTTATCAGCAGTAGGGATGGCAATGGGTCGGGTTGGGTCGGGTTTTGCCAAACCCAAACCCAAACCCATGGGTTTATCTTTGAAAAAAACCCGGGGTAAAACCCATTGGGTTTGAAAAACTCAAACCCAACCCAACCCGTTGGGTATCCGCGGGTTCATGGGTACCCACGGGTTTTGTCGTAAAAAATTTACAATTACAAGTTCTTATCAAAATTAAAGTCAAATATCAATTTCTCAATACAACTTATCCATATATAAAACACCATTCTAGAAAATTCAAGCAAATCACAAATTAACTATACAAAATGTTCAACACCAATCTAGAAAACTCAAGAAAATTGAAGCAAATCACAAATTATCCATAAATAACATGTTTAATTGAAAGCTTCTTCCTTTCAATTAAGTTTCTTTACTCTCCACTCCATAACATCAACTTCATTCTACACAATTAAAAAGAAAAAATTAGACATGTCTCCACAAAAATAAATAAGATTAGTTGTTTAGAATATTAAATATACCGAAAAAATTAATTATATGGGTGGGCGGGTACCCACGGGCCGGGTTTACCTAAACCCAAACCCAACCCAACCCGGTGAATAGTGAACGGGTTTAAACCCAAACCCGGCCCAAAACCCATCAACACGGATTTTACCCGCGTTGACCGGGTTGGGTCGGGTGGGTACCCGTGGGTTCGGGTTTTGTTGCCATCCCTAATCAGCAGAGTGGACCTTTTCTTTCAATAATGGTGCTTTAGGCTTAGGGGTCGTTTGCAGGGGTAAAAAAAAAACAAAAACATTTGCAGGGATAATTGTTAATTGTCCCTTTATCTAACCTTTCATTTTCTTAATGGAAAATGAGTTAATAATGGATTCTTAATCAGCTATTAGGCGATGACACTTTTCAACACAGGCAGGCAGCAGCACATTAGATAAAGACTGGTGGGAGCTCGTCGTGAGGGAAAGAGTCTTTTCCTTTTCGTTGTTCTGTTCTGCTTTGCTTTTCCTTCGCTTTCCTGCAAAAACCTCTCGCACAGGTAAATCAATCTACTTGAGAATTCCTCTTCTTCCGAGAACATGTTAAAAGATCCGACCTTTTTGCTTGTCATGGCTGATCTTCTCTTCTCTTCCCTTCCCTCGCAGTTTCCCATTTCCTCATTCTTTGAATTTCGATTGCTGCAACTTGGGCAGCTTCTTGATTTCCAATTTGGGTGTTTTTTTTGCCTCGATTTGTTCATTAGTTAGTGTTTGAGCCTTTAAGACTTTCCCGCTATTATGTTTTCTTTCCGATCAAAGTTTCCATATCTTACACTTTTGTGAGGGGGAGAGGGGAGGAGGAAACTAAAATTGGGTACTTTCACTGTTAGGCAATCAAGTTCAGACATGGGTTTGTCTCAAGAGAAGATTACTGTAGTTAGATTGCAGTATGTGATTGCTCTCCGCATATGATTTACAGCTTCATATTCCTTTTTGTTTATCATGACAGGTGCTTTAACATATTCACTCAACCTCACAACTTACTCAAGTGACAACACTTTGGGTCATCATTCTGTCAAATAACTAGAGTTTCAATGGGATCAGAAGGGACTGTGCCTGCTTCTGAAGCCTCTGATGGACCTTCCTGCGTAACAGTCCACGTGACGGGGTTCAAGAAATTCCATGGAGTGTCCGAGAATCCCACGGAGACGATTGTTTGCAACCTGCAGGAGTACATGAACAAGAACGGGATGCCGAAAGGTCTGGTCTTGGGGAGTTGTCACGTGCTTGAAACTGCAGGACAAGGTGCAGTTGCTCCTCTTTACCAGACATTGCAATCTGCCATACCTTCTTCTGAGGATTCCAATCCTTGTGATTCTGGGAAAGTTATCTGGGTTAGTTAGTTTTCCATCTCGGGTCGCTCATTGTATGGATGTTGTAGTGGGCATGAGCTCCATGGTTCGATATGATTGACTGTTGCAGGTGCATTTCGGGGTGAATAGTGGGGCCACAAAGTTTGCAATCGAGAATCGAGCGGTTAATGAAGCTACTTTTCGATGTCCTGATGAGATGGGATGGAAACCACAGGTTTGATAACTACCTTCCCCTATATTTGATCATTGAATGTGTGAAGGGAGTGAATTCCAATTGATCAGAAATTGTATTTGTCTTGCAGAAACTTCCCATCATTCCTTCAGATGGTGAGATTTCACAAGTTAGAGAGGTATGTTTGCTTGAGTATAGACTATAAAATATGCAACAAGTGCTCTCTTGTTGGCCGCCATGTGATTTCTCTAGTACTGCCCTTTGCTTTTGGCATCCTCAAACAATTATGTATTCCATCTGCCTGCAGACGGCTCTTCCTGTGGAGGAGATTACAAATGCCTTGGCAAAGAAAGGTTTTGAAGTAATGACCTCGGATGATGCTGGCCGATTCGTGTGTAATTATGTCTACTACCATTCGCTTCGCTTTGCAGAGAAGAACGGGACTAAATCACTATTTGTTCATGTACCTCTATTCTTAACCATTGATGAGGAGACCCAAATGCAGTTCGCTGCTTCCTTATTGGAGGTACTTGCTTCTCTATTGTAGTAACATGGTCTATTTCCATCCATATGTGTGTCTCGAATGTTGTTATGGACATTACGATAAGCTTGTATTGCTCATTGGCCTTGTTTATGAAAAAAAAGTGTGGAAATGGTTCTATAAACAGATGAGTGTTATGATGATTGTTCTAACTGCAAATCTCCACTTGGTCTTCCTAAAGCTACATTCCTTCAGTTCCTATTACTAGTTTCTTAATGACAATATGTAAGGAACTGATAGACAGAAAAAGCCTGCAAAGTGTGTTATCTTTATGGATATCGCTTGTTCGGATAGGAACAAAGAAAATGAACCCACTTCTGCGACTAGTGTTCAAAATGCTCTTCCTCTTTGTGGAATAAATTGTAAAGTTTCTTTGGTACAGTTATCTTTCCATTTTAGTGATGTTTGAGTGCTGGTTAAAGCCTTATTTAGGGCAGTGGCCAATCTGCACTCTTATGTTAAATTGTGGAGGGACAAGTTTGGCCACCCTGTCCCAACTTCTTTCATCTGCATTTTGTACCAACCTTCACATGCTTTTCCGCGTGTATTCTTTTTAAAGACCTCTCTTGCCTGATATAGCTAAGAATCTGTAGTCTGCAGTTTCTATTTTGCACGGAGAAATATTGTACATCAGACTACTGAATGTTGCCATTTAGTAGATGTGGCAGCACCCCGTTTCCAGTCCAAGAGCTAGTCTTTATTTCCTTTTTTGTGTTTGCTGGAATCCAAAATAGCTGCTTTAAGTCAACAAAGATCCTCCTTCAAGTCCATGATCAAATCTGGACTCCCTCCAATCAAGCAAGAAACAGGAGGGACGATGAGCGTCTGGTTTCCTCCATAAGCATTCCAGCAGAATGGGTTCTTCTCTGCAACTCCACCATGGTCAGCTCCGGGGAACAACACTATATCTGACAGCTCGAGGTCCGTGCAGGGCACCGAATCGCTGCAGGCCAAATGCATCGGAGGGCTCCTGACATCGTACGTGCCCCGGATGTTTGAGTAAGAGACATCATGGATGTAGACTCCACTGGTCTGGTTGGAGCAGTTCTTGGAGAGGCAGTAGTACTGGTCTATGATCACAGGGTTTCGGACGCCCTCCATCCAGATGTTGTGGAACTTGACCTGAGATACTGAGCCATACCCTCCTTGCCATGTCTTGATTCGTACACCGTTCTGAGAATGATGAATGAAGCAGTCAGACACTGTGATGTTTGATACACAGGCTCCCGAGTTGCGGAAACCTAGGCTGCCAATGCTGCAGAAAAAAGTCATTTTAATTGATTAGTTTTACACCAAACGAAACAGATTTTTCCATCGAATCATAACAAACCAAATCCTTAGGCTTTGTTATGGGGGCATAACTCTTAATATTTGTACCTAATTCCATGGCTTGGGCTGCAGGTAATGTTCCGTATGTGAACATTATAACTTCCAGCTCCAATGGATATACAATCATCTCCTGGAAATGGTGAGAACGAGAAAGACTAACATGAACCAATTCTGGATGTAACTTAGAGAGAGATGGGAATACGATGAGTAAGTAACTTTTAGCTTCATTTTCTTTTTTCTCTTTACCATTTGAGATTAGAGAACTGTGAACTATGATGTTGTTGGAGTTCTCAATGTGAATCCCATCTGTATTAGGACTCAAAGAAGGTGAGTGGATGTTGAGCATTCGCACCACGACATTTTGACAGTGGTCGAGCCGGAAGTGGAACTGAGGACTGTTCTGCACCTTCAGCCCTTGAACTGTGAGGTTTGAGCTCATGAAGAACCTTATTGCCTGCACATTTCTCTGATCAATCAGTTTCCAGGAAGGAGGAAAGGGAAAAGTTTGTGTGTTTTTCTGTTCTACTACTTACAACTGGGCTATCACAAGAGGAAGGAGCTACTGTTGCTGTTCCATGAATCCCCTGAAACTCAGTTCAGCCAGAGTAACTTAGTAGCAGAAATTTACTAACAACCACATTTTTATTACATTAGATGCCTAAAATCAAGCTGCAATTACACCAAAGGTTGGAGCTTTTTACTTTGTGAGGCTTACAGGGGAGATCCCACCATTTATGTCCTCTCCCATCTACAACACCATCACCCTGCACTGTCATGCCTGTGACATTGTAGAACACCAACCATTGTCTCTTGTTCGAGTAATTGGGCCATGATCTCGGTCCATCCGGTGCCATTATGGTTCCATCAATCTTTCTTGTCACATGGAAATGACACATGAAAACAGTAAAATCCCAAATCCAAATCAAGGCAGGATGAGCACTACTGCTGTTATTTATCGGCAAAAGATGTTATATATGTACCTGAAATAGGAGGCTAGTCTGACAAGGTCCTGCTAAGACAGTAGGCTGAACGACGAAACGATAGCCAGCTGGAGCTACGAGGAGGGCGGGTTGTGTTTGGCTGCAGGCAATGTCCCATGCCATCTTGAACGCTGGCGTGTCGTCTGCTTCACCATCGCCAACTGCACCGTAAGAAAGCACACTGAAAACTGTAGCAGGCTCAGAAGGGGATGAAGTTGGAGATAGAGGGTTATTGGGAAGGATTTCCGGCGGGAGTGAGATGTGGGAGACAAGCTGCGAGTCATTTGGTTGTGAAGTGGAGAATTGGGTTGTTCCTTGGAAGGTCGAGAAGAAGAAGAAAGTGGAGGCAAAAGCCAAGAGAGGGAATGCCATGTTAGTGGGAGTGATGAGCAAAGAGGAATGTCATTCATGTTAGTTACATATAATACTAGAAACCAAAGGAAGGAAGATGCAGCTACGAACCAGACAATTGATGAAGCGTAGCACGAACCAAGCTAGCTAGTTAGAGGGGGAGGGGAATGGCGAAGTTGTAAGTTCCAAGTTTGCAGGCCTGCTGTTGATGCGCATGCAGATGTGTGCAGCCAAAATTGGAGTGGGTAGTGGGACGAAAAGTTCAAGTAAAGAAGGAAATAATGCAACAATGCTGTCCAAATTTCTGAGGAGGGAGAATGGGAAAGATCTCTCTGTACGTTAACTTCCCTTTGTGGTGACCACTTGAGACTTGGCTGTGATGATTTGAGCTTAGAGACATGGCTGCTGTTCAGGGAATCATTTTCAGCCCTCAACGAGTTCATACTTGCTAGTTCTTTCTTTCCAGAAAGGTAAGTAGAAGGTAACGACTGGTTAGATCCTTTTCCTGGTCCAATTGGGAAACCAGTGCTGGATAAATGGGCCGGAAGATTGGACCATAACGGAGAACCAGCCCATTTCGACTACGTTTGACTTGAGTATACTCATGGTCGGCCATCCTCTTCTAGCGTGGGGCAAGGAAGGCATTGCAGAACCGATTTTGCAAAGTAGTGACACATTTGGTTACTGTGATTATTAAATCGTTTTAGGTTTAATCACTGTATAAAATTAATATCAATTTTGCTCACTCGAATTACCAAAACAGGTCATCTTTAGTCACTCTTCCGTTAGCCTCCGTCCAACTCCGGTCACTCGAATCAAATTTTTTTTATGAATGTCACTCGAATTACCCAAACAAGTTACATTTAGTCACTCTCCATTAGCTTCCATCCAACTCCATTAATAGAGTTGAACTAACTAACTAACGGAAGAGTGACTAATGTGACATGTTCCCAAAATTGATATTAATTTTTTCTAGTGACCAAATGTGGCATTTACATGATTTAATAATCTCTTCAGTAACCAAATGTAGCATTTACCCGATCTCAATGCCACATTTGTGATAAGAACTCAGAAGAGATGCACCATGGACCATTAAGCTGGCGGCCGATCAGAATGTAGATGACAGTAGCAATATTAATGACTAATGGAAAACAGAAGACAATGATCAGTCCATATCTTAAACAAAACCGACCAAATCATCCCATTAAACTTGTTAATCGAAATTCCTACACAGCAACAATGTGAAAACCAGAACGATCAAACCACACACAAGTGTTTTTTTTTTTTTGACAAAGGATTGCTTGCATTGCACTTTGAATGACAGATTACAAGAGAAACCAACAGGAAACCTAGAGAAAGATCAAGAGCACATCCCAACAGCACACAGCTGAAACAATCTGTGCTTCAGGAATACAATGGCAGCACAAACACAGAATGATTCAACAAAACAATGGATCTGAAAACTCTAAATCCAGAAACAGAAAACCCAGAAATCTCTCTTGCAACCACATCAACCAAAGTAGCAACAAACACAATCAGCTCGTTCGATTCGACCGAAACCATGACTAATGAACACAGCAAAGCCATAAGCCGCCTCCTGGGAGATGCTCGAAGACGTCTCAGCACAGTGAATCGCAGATGTGAGATTACACGGCGGTGGTCAAGGTTGAGAATCGAAATGCTCCGAGCTGAAAAGGCAGGGGGAACCGAGGTACCAGTCTTGGTCAAGGCGAGAGCCAACGAACGCAACCCCCACAAACCAAGAGATGCCACCACAACCAACTGGATTAGACACCATACTCCTCCCACTGACGACGACCAAGAGGCAGACCACACAACAGGGGAATCCAGGGGGGAATCGGTGAATGGATTCACCATGCAGCACAAAAGAATCCACCATCTTGAGAGGTGACCACCCAGGAAATGAAGGAGTCGCCCAAGATGCATAACCCAGCCCCAAGGAGAGCAAACCCAGGAAGAAGAACCCTAGAAAAGGGACTGGAAAAGCCACAAAGGCAGGGAAAGCTAAACAGCTGGAAATCCGAAGGAAAAACGCAAACAAACAAAGGCAATGGATCTGGAAAGCAAGAACAAAAACATAAAGGGATCATTGGGCTACCGCCAGTAAGGTGAGGAGACCGGCGGTAGCCCCTGAAATCTGAAAAGGAAAGGCTGAGTTAGAGAGAGGGCGGAGGAAATTTTGAAAGAGGAAAGTACACACAAGTGTTCATAGTTCCATTTATCTCTGTTCTTACCCCCCTTTACCCATGAAAGCAAAAGTTACATTACACTGAAGAAGACAACAAATGAGATTCGTCCATCCGTCCTTTAAGTTCACTACAGTAAGCTTTGTTACAAATTACTTATGAGGCACGACGAGACACAAGAAACAGAGTCAGAATACATCAGGTTGTAGAAGAATAAGACGCTGAGGGGGTTGTCATCGGGTTTGCACAGACATTAAAAGCAGGTAATTCACTACATCTGTTGTTCTTTTTCCTTCTCTTGACAACAACAAAAATTATATCAAACGAACCCACAACAGAGAACCAAATTTTAACATCATTATATAATAAGATGATGACGATGATGATTAAGACGATTGTCCAATCGTGTGACAATGTAGGTAGCGCACATCACTCGTCACAATCCAGGGAACACCTGCTGAGCCTTTGTTACAGTCTGAGATCATAATCCGAGAAACGGACACTGCTTCCTCGCATGCTCTGGTATCAACTTAACTAAAGTCTCCACGGGCACCCCCTTCATCTCTGTCACATGAAAGTTGCAGTAAGAAAATCGTTCCTCAAAACTTAATGACCAAATGATTCTAGCATGGACTGGAGCTAGTAAAGATGTGGCATTTTCCAACGTACCATGAGCTTTGAAGTTAAATAGCGGTGGAAGGAATCGTCCATTTGGCAAGCGTGTGTTTGGGTCACGTAACTCATCGAAGAACGGGTGTGTCATGGCGTCCAGCTGCAGAGCCAGACCAATAGATTAGTAAGAGTTTAGTTGCACACAATAATACCACAACCGAGAAGAACCTCCAAGACAATTAATGTCAGGCAAAGATCCAAAGAGATACTTACAGCTGTGCATCGTAGGTTGGGGGAGTATTGCAGGAGTCTTGAGACAAGATCAACTGCCTCTGGAGGCATGCGCTTGTGGAATACCTAGGGGCAGTACCATGGGATTCGTAAGCAGGCCATCAGGGGAGACATAAAAGCAAAAACAAAAATAGCTTTCATGCTTACCTTGTGCCACGGGTGAGCCTTGATCTGAGGGAACTTGTATTCCGTATAGTTTGGGTTCATACACTTGATCTCTTCTCTAGTTGGAGTACCCAACACCTGCAAAACAAACAGCACCACGTCGAATTCAGTGTAACAACCCAATTGATAGATCTTGAACGCTTGATTTAATCTAAAACAACCGAGTTACCTTAATTATCTCTACAAGCTGGTCAACTCCACTCTCGCCAGGAAATAGAGGCTGCAAAAATCATAGATGATAAATTCAGTGGCAGGATAACACAGACGGACATTTGGCAAAGCCAAAAACATGGAAAATACCACACCTGTCCAAGTAGCAGCTCAGCAACAACACAACCAGCTGACCAAATGTCAATAGCTGTAGTGTATTCAGTCGCTCCAAATATAAGCTCAGGTGCTCTATAATATCTTGAGCAAATATAAGCTATATTTGGTTCCCCTTTCACCTGATAAGACCAAATCAGAAGTTAAAAAGACTGGAACTTTCTTACCAAAATGAAGCCAAACCCATAAATAAAGCACCAAAAAGACTTACCAAGACCTTTGCACTGCCAAAATCACACAACTTAACCTGATGTGTGTGTGGATTTACCTGCACCAACACAATATTGAGATCAGATGAAGACCCTTGGAATGAATAATAGTCAAGGATGGTTTGCAAAACAAAGAACTTGCGCCAATTGGTCAACCCTCAAGTGATAAAGTAGAAGATAAATGAAAGGTGGAAATAATCTCATCACATGACATATGCAATCTAAAAGAACAGATTGTGCATACCAAAAGATTTTGGGGTTTAATGTCTCGATGGCACACTCCAATAGTACGATGAATGTATGACAATGCCCTGAATATCTGCCAAATATGATCAACCACAGGTCAAGATTAGCCCCGAGCGTAGCTTCAGAAATAAATACCCTAAGCTGTTGCATCAAAATTTAAGCTTAGGGGACAGCATATGGCCCAATGCACCATAGGTCTCGCAACTATGCAAGCCGTAAATGAATATATTAAAAGACCAAGTCCAAGGTAAAGTAACATGGGCCACACCTGGTATGCATAAAGTTTCACATAGATCAACGGCATCCTCTGAGTTAGCTTGTTGTAGTGTTTGATCACACGGTGCACAGTTTCAGGGACATACTCAAGAACCAGATTGAGGTAAAGTTCATCCTTTTCCGTAGTTGAGAAGAAGCAATGCTTCAAAGCGACCACATTGGGATGGTCAAGCAGGCGCATGGTTTGCAACTCACGGTTCTTGTACCTCTTATCTTGAAGAACCTTCTTTATTGCAACAGTTTCTCCATTCTCCAAGCATTTTGCCTGAGATAACTCAACGGTTAAAGGCGGAAAAGTCTCAACTTCAAGTGAGATTCCAATATTATTTCAACCAGAACTCCAGCCATACCTGGAAAACCACCCCAAAAGATCCATGGCCTACGACACGCTCTGCCATGTAACTTATAGTCTGCATTCCAATTAGGAGAAGACCACAGAGTTAGAACGGAAATGCAAGAAGCACGGAAGCAACGATGTAACAGTGACTATGTAGAGGTGCACTACAAAGAAGCAGAACAGAAATTCACCTGCTTTGGCTGGCCATTTCTACCACCAATTGTTGTAACAATGATATGACCAGTTTCTGTTCCATTTCCATCAACCACCGTTGCTTCCATCTCCTGCAGACAATTGCATCCAGAGGAACAACAACTAGTAAGTAAGATTAAACAAAAAAAAGGTGATGGACAGCAAATGAAAACTCAAGAGAACAACGTCTTACTTTATCATCTCTAATCTTCATGTCATTCATCTCTTCAGGTAACCTGTCAACACCTGCTGCATTATGACTAGTAGCTTCTCTCAAACCAGAAGTAGGTGCAATACCCACAGAAGCCATCGGTTGGACACCCTGAGAACAATGTCCTTTGATGTGCGCTTACAGTTCCCCTTCAACAGGACATAGCATCACCTGCCATAACATCAAAAGCATTAGCAAAAACCAGCTTGGAAAACTTGTGTACCCTAACACACCTGACTAACCCAAGCCAGACACCTCTCAAGTCTCAAGCAACATTAAAAAAAGCCTCTACTTTGAGAGCAGAAGACATACAAATTAGCGAGGGCATTAATCCATTGAAAATCCATAAACCTATCATATGTTAAGTATGGAATTCCATCTCTAAACAAAAGGTCCAATGATTGTTTTAGCAACCCCTAATTGTTCCCAAAAAAAAAAATCACTATTCCACCTTTGACCCGGCTAAATCAAATCGCCGGCGAAGCCGATACAGACGCCACAAAAAGAACGAAATACACGAGAGATCTGCAGACCGCCACGAAACACACAGCCATAAAACACATCAACTTGAGAGAAACGAATTGAACAACGGGAAGGTATTTCGTGTAGCAGCAAGCACAGGCAGAGCAGGCCACATCCATGAAGGAAAGGAGCGAGAGAATCAACCGCCAGCAAGATCTGTCCATCTAAAAGCCGATCTAAACCCCTTAAACACCGACCGGGGAGAGAGGGAAGAGAGAGAGAGGACGGAGGAGGAACGGAAGGACAAAAGTCAAAGGAAGAGAAACGGAGAGAGAGAGAGTGGTGAATCGGAGGGAGCTCCAAGGACATACCGATGAAGGCGGGCAACGATCTCCGGGGAGAAGGGAGGCGGTGGCGGAACCGGCGACGAGGGAGGAAGGAAATCGAGGAGTGGGCGGCGATCAGACAGCGGAGAGAGAAAGAGAGGGAGGAGGAGACGATAGATCCATAGACGTTGATGGTGGTGGTGGAGGAAAGTTTAAGCGTATAATGGCATCAATTCATCGCCTTCCTCTCTCTCTCTCTCTCTTCTCTCCCTCTGTTTTCTTTTATTTTTTATTTTTCCCTCTTTTTTCCGCCTTTTCATTTCATGTTAATTTTTTTTTTCAATTTCAATTTTTTTCTCAGCTTTTTATTATTATTTTTCTTTCGTTTTCTGTTTTGTTTTTTTCCCGCTTTCTTTTGGCTGGGGACTGGGCGGTGCAATGATGTGGGATGCAGGAATGGCCAGGTGGCAGGCGGTCAAAGGACGGGCACAAATTATTTTGGATGATTTTTGTCGGTTTCTTTCTTCTTTCCGGGATTTTAAGATGAATTAATTTCTCATTAATTAAGATTGGTTTCCAAATTGACCAAATTATAATCAGTGATTTACAGGACAAATCTGTTGGCAAAGAAGGAGGATTTACAGGACTATTAATTAATAAAGCCTGGTTAGATGTTAATTAATTGGTGGGTGTCCAGTGTGTAAAAGTCTCATGACGGGTTTTGGCACTTACTTTTTGACCATTCAACTTGCCATTTCTTTGGCTTTCCGTAAATCAACAAAAGTGTGACCCACTACCATTGGGCCCTGCAATTGAATTCAACAACTTTTGTACATTCTTTTGATTCCCTCCCTCATTGTAAAATCCTACTCGAGTTCGAAACTTTATAAAAGATGATAACAGATTTAATGGAAAATCATGTTCTAATTTCTTTTTTTTTTTGACAAGAGGAGTACTTGTATTGCAATAATGTCAAGGTTACAAGGGTTGAGAACCACAATGAAAGCAGAAAACAGAGCAACAGAGGAGTACATGTTCTAATTTCCAAAGGGACAATTTATGTCATAAGAGTTAAAATAATATCATAGGAAGACGTGATCATTTCTATTTTGCGGTGGAGTATAGTTTACAAAAGGATCATTTGGATGGGTTAATTGTTCATGTGGTATTTCAATGGTAATTGGAATAAAATATCTCGTTTGGTTGAACCATGCAAATTTGGTATTCGACATGTGGTATTTGGTAAAAATAGAGTGATAAACCGAGCTATTTCGAAATAACACATGAGTATAAGTTATTTCAAATAACTCGTTTTGAGTTATTTGTAAATAACTCACTGTCCAAATAACTCATTTCAGTAAAACGTTACCAAACGAGTTATTTGTGCCCAAATAACTCAATGTGAGTTATTTGAACACAAATAACTCATTCAAATACTCCATCCAAACGACCCCTAAAGGGTAAAGGGTAAATGTCAAATTTGGTCACTGAGTTTACAAAGGGTAAATAGTAAATGTCAAGTTTGGTCACTGAGTTTACAAAGGGTAAATGGTAAATGTCAAGTTTGGTCACTGAGTACTAAAATGTGATATGTTTAGTCACTGAAAAAAATTAGGGTAATGTCTATTTTTTATCCAAACCTTATTTAGATTCTTTTGATATTCTTCAAACCTATTAAAATGCTATTAATTAGTCAAATCTTTCGTAATGCATAAAATATTAGTCATTTTTACGTTATCGTTAATAATTTTGTAACTCTTTTCTTAGTTAAAATACTAAAAAATTTGAATGTTGACTTTCATGTGTCTCTTCCAAGTTAGTATCATGTTGCCAAGTCAATATTACTAACAAAATTGCTAAATGAAAGTTAACATTTGGCTCATTCTTACTATTTCGATAGGTTTGGCTAATAAAAAAGAATCTGAAAAAGGTTTGGATATTAAATAGACATTACCCAAAAAATTAATATCAATAATAGTCACTAATTTTAGTAGAACATGTCATTTTTTGTCACTCTCCGTTAGTCTCCGTCCAACTCTGTTAACACCATTATTTTTTGCCGACTTGGCTAATAGAATCGCTTAATCAGCCTATTTTAATCCAAAAAGGTTTAAACCCGACCTGCCACGTCATAAGCACCCAAGTACCCAACCAATCTCTAACTCAACCCCTAACCTAACCCATGACCCCTGGAAACCCCTCTCCTCTGCCACCCGCCACTAAGAAGAAGATCAGTCCTTCCTCCATCCCTTTCCAGCTGATGACGAGTTGCCCGCAGTCGTAATGAATCAAAATCAGAACAAAAACCCCATATCCATATCTCCTCTGATGGATCACTTGTCAAATCCTTACTGCCTTTCGCTAGATCATTGTTAGCCCAAACAAAAAAAAAAATCCATTTTGCAACTTCCATATTTAGTTATCCATCGTCACTTCACATCTAGGGATGTCAATCAAACCCGTAATCATGGGTATCTTACGCGACCGTAACGATCAACGAAGGTAATTACCCGTTTTGACGGGTTAAGGGGTGGGTATGAGTAATACCTGGTTTCAAGATAATGGGTAGGGTATGGTTATGGTAATTACATATACCCGCCCGGCTATCTAGTACCCTCCCCTAACCCTGGCAAGTGGCAATAGGCAGCCAACCTGCTCATTTATTTCATTTCTCCAAATTCCCCACCCCCAAAAATCTAAAGCAATAGCCAGCGGCGGATAGCATTCTTTCTTTCCTTCCTAATGAAAGCACTAGTTATCACCATTTGAGGAGCACCCCTCTCGTTCTTCTCATCTTCCCCATTTATTTTTTCCTTCTGTTTTTGTTTGTGGCCCATATCTCACCGACGGAGAAGCTCAATGCCACCACTAGAGGAGGGAAATCAACGACTAAGGGAAGGGGAGAGACTAACAGAGTTCCCACCCAATCTGTCTTCATCGTTTGATATTCCATCCAATCCTCCCCATTGTCGTCATCGACCTTTGAATGTCATTGAAGATCCTAGTTGTGTCGACGGGTAGGATGGCGAAGAACATGTAACAAAAGAAGGATCGGAGCCACTGAGTGGTCACAATTTTACAGACCGCTCTCCAAAACTGGACGAGAACCACCAGGTCGTTCTTCCTCATTGGTGAGCTCATTTCCGTTTGGAGTGAGCCGCCATACCGGGATGTCGTGCCCAGTACCATTCGGGATAGGGTGGAGCTTTATCTGTTCAACCAAGCTTTCGGGTAAGAAAGCCCGCAAGTATGCTTCGTTCCAATCTCCATTCAACACGAGTTCCGCCACCTTCAACGACCCGGCCTCCTCTGGAAGCTCCCATGCAAACTCCGACAAGGGCAAGCCATAGATAGCGCTTACCTGCACCCGACCGTAGCCATTGCCATCCCTATTCACATCCCAAAATCCTTTCCCATCTGTTGTCGTTGGGAAACTCTTCCCATCTACTCCAATTGAGCTCCTGGTTCCATAGGACCGTCGTTTCTCCGTCAACAACAACATCAGGATCTGATTATCCAGAAACCAAACATCTCTAATGCCTGCAAACCTCCAACGAAGTAGAGCAACTTGAGGAGGAGCAATCGTCCACAACCATAATCTAGGAGAGAGCGGCATCTCTTATGGGTAAGTGGGTGTCATAGCGAGCGTGGAGAGTCGGGATGACCTGCTTGTAGAAGAACTGTTTGAACTTGGCGGAGGACTCACAATTTAGAGTGAGTCCACTTGGTGACTGGGATCCGAAAGTTTCCGGACGTTGGAGGTCGGGGATCCAATAGTGGTAAGGCCTGAGGGCGACTGCTTGTGGGCAGAAGGAGTGGCGATGCCGGATGGGGACGGATTCCGGGAGGTAGAAGATGGAAAGGCAGGTCTGGGTGACGGCTTTGAGGTGAGATGAGAGAGGGAGTGGATCTGGAGAGCTTAGACAGCTCAATATATTAGGGTCAGGGTCAATGGGTTGGGTATCTAATGTGGCGAGACGGGTTTTAAGTTTTTTCGGGTTAAATTTGGGTGATTGGACATCTCTGCTAGCCACGTCAGCAAGTAACTAACAGTGTTAACGAAGAATGAGGGAAGGTAACAGAGAGTGACCAAATAAGAACTAAAATTGATATTATTATTTTTCATTGACTAACATGTCACGTTTTAGTAATCCCAGTGACCAAACTTGGCATTTACCCAGTTCACAATTGAAGAAGGGGATGGATTCACAAAATTAGGGTTGAGACTTAGTCTCGGTAAAGAGTTGGGAGAGCAGTAGAGTGAGTTGCTAACACGAATTGGGAAGTGGGTTGGCTCGACGATTTGGTCTGATAAGTCTCAAACCAAACCAAACCAAACCAGACCAAGAGATCAATACATTCTATGATACATACCATCAACTAGACCAGACCATTCTTAATCGTCTACGACTGGACCCAAAATGTGCAATTCGATTTGGATCACAACTTTCCAAACGATCTGGTCTATTTTCAAAGAATGTAAAACCGTACCTGAGGTTGTACTAGAAAAATCAGCGACAATATATTTTATGCTGAAACTGTAGTTTAACCATGGTTCAATCGTGCATACCGCGCTAAACATAGACTATCGACTTAGGCTCCAATAGTAAATTTTCTCGATCGGACCATTGATACAGTAAGCTTTTACAAACACAGTCTATTTTTCCAACCCTAGTTTTGAAAGGCGAATGTTTTGATTTTTTCGATTTTTCGTGATTAACAATCGTACTCATATTTTATGTTGGATGTCAATTAGCCAAATTCATGATACTAAATATGACAAATTTGGATGCCTGTAAACCAAATCCATGACAAACCAACCTTTATTTCCATGTGTTCGATTGTACCTAATCTAACCACTCTTTCCTTTCCAAACCGACCACTTCCTATTAACTAATAAATCAAAAGGGAACAAAACAAAAGTCCTCACCCAAGAAGAAAAAAAGTCGCATTGTCCCTTAGCTAACATACCACAATTGTTCCTTTAGTTTATAGCTTGACCTTTTCTTTTTCATATCATCCTTTGGTTCTAACAAACAAATACTTTCTACCAAAAAAAAAAAAAAAAAACAAACAAATACCAATTCCTTTTCTTTAATGAAGATCTAACAAATGGATATATACATTGCCGGCTTTTGCCGTGTTTTATGAATAAAGTCATTTAGCATGCCTTCTCCAATTAGTTTCATCTTCAATTTGTCGTGATCCAAAAAAAGGGGTCGTAATAATAATAATTTTTATTATATAACAAATTACGAGTAAGGGAAAAATCAAGTTTTTAATACAGGACTAATTTTAGGATAACACAACTCTTATGTGGCAAGATGCTGTTTTGAATTTTGCAGCTTGGCAGTA